TGTTCGGAAAGTGGAGCCGAAAGAAGATAAATTTTGGTGCAATTACTGCAAGGACTTGATTCCTTTTGCGATACTTAGGTAATTGTATTTCACATTTCATTATTATAGTTCATATTTATATGATATAATAATATATTACTTTTAAATTTTAAGGTACAAGCTCCATATTTCAATTGTGGACGACAATGGCATTGTACCACTGCTGTGTTGGGACAAAGTCGCTAGAGAATTAATTAGAAAGTCGTGCGAAGATGTTTTCACCGACATGTTGAAGGCATGCTCATTTATGATTTCTTCTAAAAGCTCTAATGATCAAATTAGATATCAAAGTCTTATTATTCTTATATTATATTCTATTATGCAGCAAGATGATGGAGCTATTTTGCCAAATGAGATTGAGCTTTTGAATGATAAAGCAATTATGTGTAAAGTATCAAAGAAGAAGGATCAATTTGGATCTTATAAGGGTCCATTTACGGTTTCTCGCATTACCCTTGATCCTATTTTGTTGGATGAGTTTGGACCGTTGGCAATGACTTCACAGGTTATTACCTTCATAAACTTTATATAAAAAATATATGAAAATATTTTTCTTATGATTTCTAATTCATATTTTCTGATTATAAACTGTACAGACTGAAGTGAACAACCCTAAAAGGGCAGTAGAGGTTGAAGTGAAGGTACAGCCCAACAGCCCAATATGGGCTGTAGATGATGAATTGAAGGTGTTTAGCCCAACAAGGGCTGTAATTGCTGAAGGGTACAACCCAATAAGGGCTGCAGATGCTGATGGGTATAGCCCAATAAGGGCTGTTAATCCTAAACTGGACAGCCCAATCAAGGAGGTAAAGGCTGAGGTTTACAGCCCAAATAAGGCTGATAAGGCTGAAATGTACTGGCCACTCATGGCTGCTAATGGATGCAATGAAAAGATAAAAAAGAGGGAGAAAACTGACCATTTTGAAGTGGGATCAAGTTGTTCAGAAGAGCCAATGGGGAAGAAGATAAAGATGGAAGAATTTTAAAGTTTGAATTATGAGTTTATGTAATCTCCTTTCAGTTTTATTGTTTTCCATGAATAATATTTCTGTTATCTTAGTTGTGGATGTTTGTGCTATTAAATTATTTTAAATTATATTCAGTCCTATAATCACTATCTTTGAACCTCAATGAACAGGATTAAAGAGAATACAGCAAAACAGCAACAAGTGTTATCTAATCAAAACAACAAAGCAGCACAAACAGATTAGTTTACAAGCAAATAACTTAATCAAATCATTTCAGGTTTGGGTTTAAAAACATATAATCATGCCTTTAAAAACAAAACCACATAAGGGTTTCAGTTTAGAGGGGTTCAGGGTTTAGGTTTTCAGGGTTGAACAGCAAAACAGCAAAAACATCAACAGGATTGAACAACAAAAACAGCAAAACATCAACATGATTTGTCTAAGGAAAACAGCAAAACAGCAAAAACATATAACTTAATAGGAAAATAACTTTATCTGATCATGTCAGTTTTCTAAACCAAAAAAACTTCAACAGCAAAACAGAAAGTATGAAATTCAATCAAACTTGAACAGCAAAACACAAACAAAACCAATAAGTGTGCAACATATAATCAGGTCTTTGCAACATATAATCAGGTCTTAAAACATATAGTCAAGCCTTTAAAAAAAATTACTTTATATTGCCTTCATCAATATCACAAGACCAATATGTGATATGTGTTCAAAACATAATCAATCATTAAAAAACAAAACCATTTAATCATGGTTCAGGGCTTTAGGGTTTATAGCAAAACAGCAAAAACAAATGGCATAAAAGTTCATCAAATTATATAAGTTATCCAAAGCAAATACCTTAATCAGATTAGTATTTTTTACTCGATAACAGCAAAACAACAACAAGAACGAAAATATCAAAATACAAATAAAAGAACAAAGTGTTCATGGAATATAATCATGCTTTTTAAAACAAATCCACAAACCCCAAAATAACACTTACAAGATCAATGCAGCAACACTTAAACACTAAACTCAAAACATATCACTTTTAAATTATTTTTAAAACTTCAACAATTCAAGTAAAAGATATAAAAAACATCTCAGGGAATTAATGTGTTTTTAATTTCAAATAACAGTAATAAAATTACAGTAATAAAATTCAATCAATCATTCACATAAGTCAGGATAAAAACTGATCATTTTTACTATGACATTAACTCAATATCAAACATAGATATCAAGAAAACCAAACAGTTTCAACAATGAATTTACTCAATTTATTGTTACCATGATTTCAGCAGTCATGCATTTACAGAAATGTGTCAGTTTTTTAATACCTTCCAAATACAAGAAACCAAATCAAAAATCCTAATAAAAGCTAACAAATGCACTTAATATAATTACCAAATATAGATGCTGCTGTTTTCTATATAAACCAATAAAATATCATTTAGTCTACTTATCCCAAAAACACATCATCTAAAGAAGACCTTTTGCAATTCTGCACATAGAGAGCACACAAAG